CAGTCACCTTTCTCACTCACTATGTATTAATAGACCTCTCTGCATTGAATCATATCTGTTATTAACCTCTGTCTCTCTTCCACAGCATGTCTTTGTCCTGTCTTCCTTCTCTCACCCCAACCGGTCGCAGCAGATGGCCCCGCCCCTCCCTGAGCCTGGTTCTGCCGGAGGTTTCTTCCTGTTAAAAGGGAGTTTTTCCTTCCCACTGTCGTCATAGTGCTGCTCATAGGGGGTCATATGATTGTAATTTTTTTTCTATGTATCTACTGTACAATATAAAGCGCCTTGAGGCGACTGCTGTTGTGATTTGGTGCTGTATAAATAAAATTGAATTGAATAATTTTATAATGAACTATTTACAGGTGTATACAGACGGGTCGAAAGATCCCAAACCTGAAGCAACAAGTGTAGCAGTGGTAATTCTGCAGTTAAGGCTCAAGATTGCAAAAACAACATCAAATCTTCTGAGTATATATGCAGTTGAGTTATATGTCACACTGTTGGCTTTAGAATGGGTGGAAGACAGCAGAATTTCAAAAGTAATAATATGTAGTGATTCGTTGTCAGCATTGAAAGTAAATTTGTATGACGTCCTTTTGCTCATCATAGAGTGTCTGAAGAAAATAAACATATAGTGATAATGTGGACTCTGGCTCATAGAGGTATTGTGGGTAATGAAAGAGCAGATTGGCTAAAGCAGCTGTTAAAAAAGTAGACATAGATGTGCAGATACCATTGTTGAAATCTGAGGGAAAAGAATAGTTTGCACACAAAGTAAGAACTTCTGGAGAATGGCATGGGATAATGGAACAAAAGGGAGACATGGGGTACAAAACACAATAGAAGTTAAGAGGAGTAGTGGGTTAAATAGGCAGCAGGAGAATACAAACAGGTCATTGCTTTCTGAATGGTTCTCTTTTTATGATGGGGAAACATCCGACTGGGTTATGTGATGGTGTAATGCTGTGGAGATGGTTGAACATGTGGTTATTAGTTGCAGGAAGTATAGAAGTCAAAGGAGAGTGTTGAGGGTGGGAACTGGTGGTGAAATGAAACTTACGTTTGGAAAAAGTGGTTAATCAGTTAAGTCCTGATGAGGTGAAAGGAGTGGTTTTTCATTTTTGAGAAATACTGATCTCATCAAGAGGATCTGAGGATCTGGAGGAGAAGTAAGAGTAAAAGCCAGGAGATGGCAGTAGTGCAACATCTTTGGATGCAAGCTGCTGTTAAAAATGACAGAAGAAGAAGTTTGCTTGATCATTCCTCAGCTCGTCTGTGTGAAGCTGAGTGTAAAGAGGCTCCTGCTGTCAGAGAAACACTCTGACTGTTTCACAGACTCAGACATGTTCAGACTCAATCTCAGTCAGAAACTCAGCATCACATTGATGAAGCTGCAGATTCATTGTGGTTAATTTCTGATTCATTTCTTTGCTGCCAGCTGAAATTTAAATGTAATTTAAAAGAAGGATTGAAGGTTATTGAACCCAAAGATTTCACATGAACGTGTATGAATTGTATGATATGTCTCTCCTATTTTTCCATGATCATATTTTGATGTTGATTGTGATTGGTTTCATTTGTTTCTTCATTGGTTGTAGTGTTTTAATGTTTAGATTGTCTTTTGTTCCATGTTGTAATTGTGTATAAAGTTTGATTTGAATGACAGTTACACTTGGATGCTTTCAGTGTTGCTGTGTTGAGTGTTTGCATGTTTAATGTTTGTATGGAAGACACAGAAAGACATGTGACTAAAGAAATCTGTGCTAGAGTGACTTTAAAAAATAAATAAATAGTAGAAAACAAAACAGATGTTGAATTCTTTAGAGAATTTTCTAAAAATCTTTTTCTTTCTAAACAGAATCCAGAATATTAATGTTTGACATGGAAGCTGTTTCTACAGGATCCTGATGGACACTCAGAGGTTTAGAAAATGCTCTCATTAGTTGTTTACAGCAGAATATCAACCGATGTGAACCAAAACTACAGAAATGCACAAGTGGTATGTGAGACTAGAAATGATAGAATCAGTGCTGCTGATTTCATTACTCTGAACTTTTAAAGGCAGGTTTTGTATCTGAGAGCAGGGACACTTGCTGTGTTCAGTGACTGTAAGTTCAGGCTACCCTTGATTTAGTTGCTAGATGTTTTTAAACTGTGTTTATTTTATAAGGCTCATTAAAAGCCATCTGAACTAGGGCGTCCTTTATCCAGGCTTAGGGCGTCGGGGGGTTCCCCGGAGGCATCTTCCTTGGGGGGCTCAACCCGGGGTAGCGGTCACGTCCGGTTGAGGGCTCTGTTGGCTCTCAGGTGACTGTTTCCTCGCGGCTGCGTGCAGCGGGGCTAGGGGAGGGTCTGTGCTGACGGACGTGGGTTACTGACCTGGCAACCTGGCTGCCCCTGGGTGGGTCCGGGATGGGCGTGAGGTTCTGGGGGCGCTCCGTCTCTGGGCTGGGGCCCGGGCCGGGCCTCGGGGGCTCGGGTCCTGGTTGGTGTGTTGCCGGGGTTGTGGGCGGGTGGGTGCATGGGGGCCCGGCCCTGGAGCAGGGTGCCGCCGGTGCATCGAGCCGCCTGGGGGGCTCTTCAACTGGTGGGGGGATGGTCACATCTTGCAGGAGCTTTCTTCTCTCAGGAACTCTCTGCAGGAGGGGGAGATACAGGAGAGGTGGAGGAAGATCTCAGCCTGGGCGTTTACCGTCTTATGTAGTCTGGAAGATGTGTGGTTGGTGGGGTGGGTGCAGTTTTCTCTGTGGTGGGGTTGGGTGGACTGTCCAGGGCTCTGTGGAGCCGGGGGGCGCTACTGCACTGGGCCCCGGTCTGATGGGCCTCGGCCCCCTTCCCTGGCGGGTCGCGGAGGGTGGGAGTGCCTACTGGGGTCAGCGGGGGAGCTGGCCCCAGGGAGGGGTTACCTGCCCCTCCCTTCCTTCCCTCCCCATCTCCAGCTGCCTCCCTCTTCCCGCTCCTCCACAACCACCCACACATGCAGGGCCTTGGAGTGGGGGTATGTCACCAGGGTGCAGAGGAGGCTACCCCCCGTCCCCCCCCGTCCCCTTCTGGCTGCCTCTGCCTCAATTTTATCCCACAACTTAGACATTCACATTATTCACACTCTCATTACACATACATATAGGATCTTGGGGGTGGGCACAATCACGGAGTCCAAATCACCATCAGGGTGTATACCTCACCCCTGACGTCGTTGCCCACCTCTCAATTTTAAATACACTTAGTCATTGAGGGTTAGCAGGAGGGACTATGCGCTTACCTGCTGCTCCTTGGCAGGTAGCTCCATGCCCTCCTGGGTTTTAATTGCACCTTAGAACACATATGCATCAACACTACAATGAGCGGGTGGAGGGAGGTTTGGAGTCTTCTCCCACCCCCATTCTCTGCGGCCTGCTGGAGCGGGAGGGCTAGTAGGAGGAGTTGGCCGTCCGACTGCGGTCTGGGGTGTGGGGCCTCCCTGCTGCTGCGGAGTCGGGGTGGTCTGCCTCTCCCCACCGCAGGGAAAAGGGTAACACCACCTGGGTCTGGGTGCAATTCCCCCCTCCAGGGGCAAGGGTACCTAGACCCGGTTTGTAGAGTACGCTTGGGGAGTGTGATTGTGTGTACAGCGTCTCTTTATGTCTGTCTCCACGTTGGTTGAGTGTGGAGTAAGTGCATATGAAAGCATGAGGGTGGGAATGGATGTTTGTGTCTGTGTGTGCCTGTATGTCTGTGTCTATATGTCAGGTTGGGTATCAGACGCCACCTCTCTGGGGACACCTCAGGCCCTCCAAGGTTTGGAGGCCTATCTCCACCCACCACCACTTCCCCTGCCGGTGGCGGACTCCCTCAGGTGTCGGTGTGTTGGTGGTTCTTTGTGTCTGGGGGTGGGCGTCCGGGTACACACCGGCTCACTCCTTGGCGGCCGCTTGTCGGGGCCTGAGGCCTGGGGCTCGCTCGGGCCCCTTTGGAGGTGGGGTGCCCCCGGCCTCTCGGCCTAGGGCTCGGTCACTCAGGCGCAGCTGGGGGCCGGCGGAGCTCACGGGCGCGTCACTGCAACTCCCCTGACTTCTGCTCCGCGGCTGCTGGGCGAGCCCTCATCTGGGACTCTCCTTAGCTCTTACTGGAACAGTGGCACAGCTGCCCCTCTGTTGGTCTTCCATGGTCTCTTGTGTTCTGGGGGCCTCTGGATGTCTGGAGTTTTGATCTCCTCCATACCCGCTTCACACCCTGGAGGACGGGGCTATGGCCCCCCCACACTCCCTAGCAGATCATTACATGGAGAAACCTTTGGAATGCAAGCATGCTGATACACACAGGTATGCACACATGGGTATTCACAGACGCGGACTAAAGCTTTCTTGGCTGCTGCCTCAAAGCACACTGTGCGCTGTCTATCTTGCGTGCTGCACAATATCGTTTATTACTTAGTAAATACTGATATCTATGACTAGCTAGTTTATTGTGATGGTGCTTTGTTTTCTCTATTATTATGTTGCTCTTTGTTGTTTGCTGTCTCCTCTGTTTGTTTTTGTTTGTTTTTTGTTTTTTGTTTTTCTCCATACAGGTGACCCAGGAGTTTTTTTTTTTCTCTCTCTCTCTTCCCCCCCCTTCTCACCGTCTCTTCTCCCCTTTGGTTTTCTTTCTTTCTCTCCCCTCTCTCTCTCATTCATTCCCCCTGTCCTATTTATTAAAAAAAAAAAAAAAAAAAAAAATGACAAAGGATGAACTGAAGCTCTGCCATCACGTAATGTCGCATACTGCTGTTTCTGATGTCATTTAAAAAAAAAAAAAAAAAAAAAAAAGCCATCTGAACTAGAGATGGACCGAGCCGATGTTGCATATCGGTATCAGTCCGATACTGACCTAAATTACTGTATCGTATATAAGTAATAAATAAACAAAGATGTAATCCGATCTACTAAATATCACAAAAGCTCCTCAGAAAACTTGCGACATGGCGTAACCCAACACATGACCACATAGGAGCAGTATGTGAGCTGCTGACATCAGCTCACCTGTTGCAGTATGTGACCTTCTCTTAGTGTCATTAGTCTTTTATGCAGCTCCACCAGCTCATCCAGGTAAACCTGAAAAGCACAAAGCAAACACGGCTGTCATGATGTAGCAGTGGCTGATGGTAACAAACCCCAAGACATAACAACACTTTCTATATTTCAGAATATTTACTAGTCTACTCCACATTACACGCACTGTTTCTAAAAACCAAAGACACTCGTTCTCACCTTATCACACTCCATGCTTTTGTCTTGCTTGCTCTGCTTGGTGGGACTTTTTACTTCCACTATCTGACAGACAGAAGAGCAAAGAGTCACCCAGGGTCACGCACACACCTGGATACTGTGGCTTTCAATCATGCTGCTCTAAGACATAAGCCAGTATATTACTGATACGATTACCTGGTTATTAGTAGACTTTAATAAGGGCGGGGCCTCACTGCACGACAGCGGGGAATGGGAGGAGCTGTCACTTCTGCTGCCATCACTTAAACTAATCCTAAGTATGAAGTCACAAAGAATAAAGACATTAAAACTGTTGTCTCAGCTGTTAGCTAAAAACCGCTAACAATGAAAAATCCCCCATCTGAGAGAGTGGGGACGAAGGACGGTCTTTAACATGAAGATGACTCTCGCAGAATCAGTGTCAGGGAGGGGCCTGCTAGATCAGGGGTGTCCAACTCCAGGCCTCGAGGGCCGGTGTCCTGCAGGTTTTAGATCTCACCCTGGGTCAACACACCTGAATCACATGATTAGTTCATTACCAGCCTCTGGAGAACTTCAGGACATCATGAGGAGGTCATTTATCCATTTGAATCAGCTGTGTTGGATCAAGGACACATCTAAAACCTGCAGGACACCGGCCATCGAGGCCTGGAATTGCCCACCCCTGGCATAGATGATAGAAAACCGGTCAACTGTTGGAGACGGAGACGATCTGGTTAAGTTATGCTTTTTGGCCAAGGTTGACGGCACGCCTCCACCAACAGGATGGTGGAGAGAGTTGGAAAGAGCTTACATGAAATACTTGAAAAGTTAGTAAAAGGCACGTTGAAAGAACCTTTAGAAACTGTCCCAAGCAATTTTAACCAAGATTTAAATAGCGGCTCTTCATCATTTTACAGGTTTGTTGTTAAAGGCTGGCTCTACTGCACAAACATGTGAGATACAAAGTAGCACTCATAATAGCAATATCCTGGTTAGAAGGAATTCATTACCAATGTCTGCACACAGCTCTATGAAACTAAACTAGTGTGCGGTTCAGCCATTCGAAAAGCTGCCCTCGGGCTACTAACCTGTGCTGGTGGTGTGCGAGGTGTGCTGCTCGATCCGTGTCTGAATCCACGTCGTCGTTGTCGTCCTCTGAATCGTCGTCGTCGTCCGAGTGCAGATCCTGCATCACTGACTGCAGCGGGCCAAGCACTGAGTGGAACAGTTCAATAAAGCCTCAGTCATTGCAGTTTAAACCTCAGGAATACAAGCAGAAAGCTGCAGATTGTGACGTTGGTACTGTAAAGCTCAGCAAATGTGGACTGGTGATCTGACTTTCAAAGGGAACATGCACACATCTCGAACTCTACATAGCTGACTTACAGCTCTGGTTTTCAATTGTTCTCATTGCTCAGGAAAACAACATGATTCTTTCATGTTCTTCAATCTCAAAATGATTTAGCAGCCTCTCTTACGACGTCTTCAACTTTCTGAACCGACTCAAAGTAAAAGTTTATAAACCAGGGCTGTGCCCGTTTGTTTACAGGCTCAAAGTGATACTTTAAGAAGATTTGTGGTAATAATGTTTCTGATCATTTACACAAAAAGATATTTTCTGCAGCATTTCTAAGTTTGATTAAATGAAGGGCATCCCATGATTGCTTCCAATGAGCTACTGTCACTGATGACACAGTGCCGTTTGCAGCAGCGTGAAAGTGGCACGGCGCTGCAACACAGAATAAGTCAAATGTAGTACAGAAACAGGGTTGGTGTTAGTCGTAGTTTGGCCTGGAAACTTTTGTTAAACAGTAACTAAAGTAACTTAACCTTGTGACTTTTTAGGAACCTGCACAATATTTTCACAATAAAACTGAAGACTCTCTTCTACCTGGGATGTTGGGTCATGAGTTGAGCTTTTTAACCTGCTGCTTTGGTCTTGCACCATGTACTGTATCAGTAACTTTCATCCACTGTTTGCTCTTCCTGTCACATGACGTCCTTCAGCCACACTTGGAGTCATTTGTTTACATTTGGGTCACATGACACCAGCAGCTAATATCTCCACACACAGCCTGACTGTAGCGCACAGTTTTTCACCTGAAGGGCTGAAACAGGTTCTTGCATATGTTGCAGAGCACTGTGATTGTTGGAGGTTCCTGAAGTTGCTCCACTGCAGACTGACACATGTGGCTCTCACTCCCAGACATGCCCAGGCTTGTCTCTTAATTGCATGCACTAGGGATCATAACCACCTGGTGTTCCTATAGCAATGATATCTCAGTACGACAGTTTTGTATCACGTAAGAATTTGTGTATGATTGCAGACAATATGATATACACAGCTAGTTAATGCTTCCACTTTACAATAATAAAGCTTATGGTTCATATTAGAATATGTAGGAGGGATCACTCTCCTCAGCCTTCCCGGGAAAGTCTGTGCCAGCGGGCTGGAAATGAGAGTTCGTCCACTGCAGGAGCACGATGTAGAGTGGCTACATAAGATGCAGGTTCAGGCATACCAGGCGAATTCAAGGTCTGGCTATACCAGCATGGTATAGTACCAAGACTCATTGGCAAGTCCTGCATGGGGCGTTAGGGACTCGGGTCCACCCACTTCCAACAATGGGCAATAGCTGAGCCCTGGCTGAGGAGAGGCATGGTCCGAGCCGAGGTCCGGCAGCTAGAGGAGGAAAGCACGGAACTGGGTTTACAAGGAATCTGGACATAGTGGGACCTGTCAAAGCAGACGATTAATTGGCTTTAACTTTGGAGCCTTTCCACATCTTAATATTGCTCCGCTTAGTCTACAAGTCAATGACGGAGGAGCCACAGTGCAGGTTATGTGGGGCGATGGCGCACAGGCTGGAAGAATGCAAGACTACTGTTAGCCAGGGAAGACAGAGATGGCGCCATGACCAGGTCCTGAGACTGAGCAGTACTGTGAGAAAGTAGCATCACACAACACCAACATCAGGTGGCTGGAGGACCCAACAGCAGACCAAAGAACCTCCCAGAAAAAGCCAACATAACAAACACAGACATCCAACAATGACTCCACAATGAAGAGCTGGATAGTACTGGACACCTACTGGCTAAAGAGGCAAACAGCCCTCCAAGAACACCTGGCAGCAGCTGCTGGCTAATCAACCACACACAGTGGTGCTGGACAAGGAGCAGAAGGCTGCAGTTGTGATAGATGTGGCAGTCCCAGCAGAGAGCATGTCAGGAAGGGGAGCATGAGAAAAACTGGAGGAAAACTGGAGCCAACGTAGAAGGTCAAGAACGAAGTGGTCCCAGTAGGAATGAACGCGTTAGGAGCTGTAATCCCTAAAGTGGAAGAGCCAGGCACAACATTTCTCACATGACCGGGTCCACTGCCAGAGACCTCGAGGTCGAGGTCACCGAGATTCAAACTCGTCGACGTCGTTAGCTTAAATCCTACGTAGCCTCGTTCTTGAGGTACTGCATGCACAAACCTGGCTCTCCACCCCAACCATCCGACCAGCGGGGTGATGACAATCAGCCTTTTTACAGCCGAGAGGAAAAACACAACATGCAGAGATATGTCAGGTTTTCATGATCCAGCCATTCATCCTTCCTTCAGTGGGTACTTCTTAACTTCAGTTCCAGACTTTCTCTTTGATATTTGGTCACATTGGGGCCCGATGAATGTAAAAACAAAGAATTACCAGATTTGGTTTTTTACCTTATTTTTGTTTTTAAGAAAAATATCAGCCACATCTGATAAAATTTTATAGAACAGCAGCAGTATAATGTCCTCGTAAGTGGATATCAGGCCCTTGTAGAGCAAAATTTAGTATTTTGGTCTAAATAACCCAAAATGTGATGTCCACATATGTGGACGCCCGGTCCTAGGAGGTTAACATGAGCATAACATTTTTCAGGCAAACGCCTCCATGTGTAATTAACATAGAGCCACAGTATTGTTACTGTTTTGTAATCAGCCATAGGCACTAGCACCGACTATTTTAAAGTGTTACTGTTACTAGTAAGCTAACATAAACGAACCAACCCAGTGACATCACATGCTGATGTCGGTAAACGTGTTATATAAACTTAAACTTTAAGCACTTACTTCTTAAATCGAGCTGCACAGACAGCGTTACCTTTGAGAGCAGGGCTCAGTGGTGTAAATTAGCCTTCATACATGTAGAGTTTCATGTCCACTTTAATGATAACAGCTAATTATCTCAAATCGTGAGCATGTTAAATTCCCACCAAGCAGGTTAACGATTATGGTAACTGTGTAACACTTCAGTTTTCTATACATTGGAGTTTTGCTGAGTGCTGTGCATTGTTGTGAATGTCAGCTACATGTGTCGTAGTGAGGAAAGAGGTTGTGTGTCTGCCTGTGTGCAGGGGTGCTGCGTGTCAGCTGGAGGCGGTGAAACAACACTGTTCAATATCGATCCTGCTGCTAAGGAGCGTTTAATCCAAACAGTGTAGCAACCTTATGACAACCATACCACAGTCTCTACAGGGCACACAATAAGTGTTAGGCTACCACTGTGTACTTGGTGTTACGCTTGCATGACAACAGACTGTTGGATGCATTTGCTTTCTTTGATTTCTACCAGTGAGTGTGATAAGTTTATGTCAGCTGGACCTAAAGTGATGTTAAAAACACTGTTTAAGCTTCACACTGCCAGACTGAATACTTCCACCTGTGTAACACAACAGTTGGACTCACTATAGTCTCGTCACATCCTGACATCACCCCAGCCCTGTCCTCTGTGCATCGTGGAAAGTGACGATGGGAAAACATTCAGACACTTTGTGCTCACGTTAGTTTTCCTCTCCCAGATTCTCCCAACAAGCAGCTGAAGATCTATTAGGATAATTGTTGTTATCACAGTTAATATTCCAGATTTATCTGATTACATCTCAACACCCCACCACCCACCCCCCTTTGTCCTGTGCTGTTGTTGATTTGTTGAAAAGAAAAGTCATTAAAAAGTGAATTCAATTCTTCTACGGTGCTGCTGAGCACACGCATGTGTGCGAGGCGGCTGTTTGCTGAATGGCACTGAACACATGTGCCTGTACAGTTTAAATCATTTGCTCACGATTATGTTTAATTTCACGTGGCACTCGTGATATAAATCTAATCACAAAAACAAACAAATCAAAGCGGTGCAGTTTATTGGTTACATCGCTTTGACTGCACGAAGTGTCACGTATGATGTTAGTGTCACTAACAAACAGCACAAACTAAACTTTGTAACTTGTGTGCACGGTCCAAGTCGGTTACCTTGTCGTTTGTGGGGTGTGGGAGCAAAGCTTGAACTGGAGCTGGAACCCGCTGGACTGGGCTGCTCAGACTGGGAGGAAGAAGAGAAACAGGCAGCGATTAATGATAAAAATATGACTCAAACTGCTGTTTGACTGAATGTGGCGGTTCTGCAAACACAGAAGCAAATGAATACTATTCGAGCCCCGGCTCCGACAGTCTCGGTCGTTGTGTCCTTGGGCCGTTGCCTACTGGTGGTGGTCAGAGGGCCCGGTGGCACCAGTGTCCAACACCATCGCCTCTGTCAGTGCCCCCCAGGGTGGCTGTGGCTACAATGTAGCTGCCATCACCAGTGTGTGAATGGGTGGATGACTGGATGTGTAAAGTGCTTTGGGGTCCTTAGGGACTAGAAAAGCGCTATATAAATACAGGCCATTTACCATTTACTGTTATTATTATGTATGTGCTGAAAGAAGACCAAACCCAGCAGGAGTGGACCAACCTGGACTCACCAGTGTTCCCACTTTGAACACGTTCGGCTTTCAAACCACCTCCAAGGGACAGGAATTAAGAGTTACAGTGAGGGGGACTCTCTTTATTAAAAATATGTTTATTTATCAAGGTTTGTATTTATTTTCAACAAATACAAACATAAAACAAACGAGGCTGCAGAGCACTGGATGTCTTTTTCCAACTAATGTCAGAACTATCTGTCCTGACATTAGTTGGAGAAAGAAAAGCTCCAACAGGAGGTTTCATAGTGCCATCCATCGTCTGTTGGGTCGGCAAAGCATCAAGAGAAAATTAGATTTCTGTGTAAATGTTCAAGGTTGAAGCAGTACCTTTTATAACAGCACACACAGTTCACATGAAACAGTGTGTGCTAACATTTCCATACAGTCCTTCCCTTCATGTCCATGTTTGTGTTTGACACGTCTGTAGTTTGGATTCATAAAAGCCAAAAATGAAAATCGTTCTTTTAAACCCTTTCTTGAAGCAGCATCTGCCCACAGGCAGCAGAGGCTCACACAGCCCAGAGTGAGGATGTTTGACTCTTTCAGATTGACTGAGATGTGGACTTAAACAATGACAGTGCACGTTTAAACGTGTTTCAATGTACATGCACAGATACATAAGGAAACCCTCACAGTGCAAAACATGGTGAGGAGAAACGTGAGAGAAAGAGCGCACAGCTGCTCTGCTGGTTTACAGGCTTCTTCAAAGTGTCATAAATCTGACCGGCACCTCCTGTTTACGGCTTTTGTTCTCCTTTACTCCAAGTAAGCAAACCCAATCACATCAAGAGACAATAAACCGACAGCACATCCAGGAAACTGTCTGACGGTCTAGTTTAGAAACCACGGGGAACAAAGTGGGAAAAGTTGATGCCTGCAGCCGCTCTCACATCCACAGCTCGCAGCGCTCTGCCTCAGCTCTGCTCCTCACGCTCGAACCATCCGATTCATCTGCTCTGGATTTCCTCTGATTAGTTCCCAACAATGGGTTCAGCTACGGTTCCCCCGCTGCTCTGCACAGCGAGCAACCCGCTCGCTCCTCCACGCGTCCACTGTCACAGATCAATATCCCATCTGTGATCTGTTCAGCCTACAATAATGAATCCCGCTAACCTGCAAAGCTAATGACAACAGATGGCTGGCACTCATTTCAGTTTGAAAATAAGAGTGAGAGGATTGTCCACAGCAGCAGACGACATCAATCTCATGAAGAGCAAACAAATCTGGGATGTGATTAAAACAGCTGAATGTAGAAAAACACTGCACAGACTCAGGATAACATGAATACTGTCATTCAAAATAAAGATTATTTTTATCATGTTTGAATTTTTAGACACTCTTACATAATTAAATGTTCTTCGTGCTGTGTGATGGTGATGAGTGGACACTTAAATCAAATAGATGATAAACTTTCTTTTACTAAATTTATCTGTCACCAGAACGTCACCAGTGTGACATCGTCAGCATCCTGAGACACCAGCATCTCTGTGGGGTCCTGACCATCCAGCACAAAGCGCCTCGACGATGCGGCGCCATGGAAATAAAACTGATTGGTTTTAAACAGACGTGTGCTGGTCGGAGGCCACACCCAGTTTCCCTTCCTTCATGTCATCACCTCGTCCGCGTTTCCTTCTCTGCCGTTTTTATCCGAGCACTCGCTCCCAAACTCTGAGATCAAAGATGAAGCAATGGGAGCGCTGGGCTGTGTCGCCTCAGGCCCACCAGGGTTGCTAGCCTGGGCACAATCAAATGCCTGGAATTTGTCACCCCACATGCTTTTTACAACCAGTAGCTGCAGCAGCCCCCACCCCAAAGCTACTTCCATGACAAAAACACAGGTTTCGGTGCCACTCTGTGAGAACTCCTTTGACTAACCACGCGGCAGAGAACGATGCATGAAAGAGCTGCACTTCATACAATCACTGACAACAGAAATAAAAACTGCTGCAGAAAGAAATGCTGTGAAGCACAAACACGCAGCCATTTGATTCTTTCAAAGCTAAAAGAATTAAAGAGGAGCTGTGCTATTTACGGCCCTCGTTTCTCCTCAGGTGCCGTAAAACCATAAATCTGTCTCGTCTGTGATTTGGCTTTAAAACTTCTTTATGGGGAGGCTCTCTGCAAACCAGCGTGGGCATGGCAACAAGGTCAAATGTCAGCCTGTTCATGAGGCTGCAGCATTTTCCTAATTTGGCTCACGGGTTTGAAGACGCAGACACTCTGTTAGATACTCGACATCTTCATCAGCTGTTTACTCCCAAACCAATCAATGTGCAGACGAACGCACCAGAACTTCCACCAGGTTTACTGGTGGAAGTTACCAGTAGATGAGCTCATTCCCAGCTGTAACGACAGTAAAGCATCACGTTTACTCACATCCGATCTGGCAGACTGGTCCTCCATATCAGAGTCATTAGCATCAACCAGGTCCTGGAATGGCGGCAGCGTGGACACGCTCCTGAGGTCTGCGTCCTCGCTTTCTGCTCGTAGCTTACTGCTGTGCAGCTGCGATCGGTCTCTCAGTAGTTTCTTATCCAAACACGGACCGTCCAACTCTGAAATCTGCATTTCCGAGGAGTTCACAAACCCCTTTTTGCGTCTTTTGGTCCCGTGATCGTCACCTTCGAGGCCGGACAAGCGCTTGTTTAACCTCGACGCATGAGTTATCCCCTCAGTCCTACGCTCCTTAGACAAAGACTTGGGCTGCTTGAAGCCCATCTTAGGATTGATCTCTCTAAGTGGCTGGTTCTCTTTGGGTTTCCTGGAAGATTCTTTGGGGGCTTTTCCGGGTTCCCAGCCCGAGTCCCTGAAGGCACTTTTGGGGTCTTTTAAATCTTTTGAGGTCTTGTCTATATGGTCCTTAAATGGCTTGTGGAGTTTGGAGATGCTGCTGTTGTCAGAGCTGGTGGTTGTGGCCATGATGAGGAAAGTGTTTCCTGTAGAGCCATCCTGCAGATTGAAACAAACACAGGAGATCAGATAGTAGCGTCGGATATTTAAGTAGCTGGAGATGAAAAGTGACATCAAGCAAAACAATAACAGAAGAGAAAGAAAGACTGAAGCTACACGGGAAAAACACGTAAAGCTCAGAGTGTTCAGGCACAAGGCAAAGGGAAGCTCCTCGCGCTGTCAGGGCGCTAATGAGACCATACCGCTGTCAGCTGATACAGTATCGAACACGCCACCGATTTTACAAGCAAAGATGTTTTTAAAGGTGCCGTGGACATGAAACCCACTCAGTCCACACATGCAAAGACATCATACACGTGCACATATTAAGTTATGCATAGTAATGAAAAACAATGCAGGGAAAAGTGCTGAACACACTAACTGAAACTTGTACAAAAACCTTTATTGATAGTACAGCTTCAAGACGCCTCCTTTATGAAGGAAGCAGTCACACTGCTCAGGTGTGGTTTCGTCCCAGTCTGTGGGATCATAATCTGAACAGGTGATTGGCTCTAATCCCAACTGTCCCTCACGCTGATGTTGAAACCAAAGCTGATTGGGCGAAACAAAAACACAGTGTGGAACAGATCAGCTGATTCTGTTTGCTAATGTGTTGCTAATATCTTTCTACATTTTCTTAGTTTAAACCAAGTTTTTCTGAGTAAATATGAGTTCTAAATCAGTGCATTCTGTTTTTATTTACATTTCACGCAGTGTCCCAATATTGGCTGACAAACACTGCAATGATCAACTGTACAGCGAAACACTGATGCTGTATTACTGTAAAACACTAAATATCTGTTTCTTTGTCCACAAACATCCACACGGGTAAATCTTCGGCCCCTGACATTCTGATGTACGTCAGATATTATAAAGTGGATCCAAACAATCTCAGAAAAATGAGGGATGTTCCTGGCCACTCATTTCTAAGCCGACTAAACGAGGAAAGCCAAACGGCTGCTGTGAAACTAAGAAACACTGCAACACACTGTGGGTTCAGTTTGAGGGCTGTATAATGGACAAACACTGTAAATGCTGCTCAGCTGTGTGGCGTCTCACATCGTGCATGATGAACACGTTATCCTCCAACACCAGACTAAACCCAGAACAGAAACAGGTAACCTGATGGTAACCCTCAGCTGCATCAGAGGCTCCAAACTAACCTGCTGAGGTTGCTTTTAACAGCAGTTGTTCTGGTTTAATGTTCCAGCTATAAAAACATGATTTTGATATCAAGCCATTTAAATTTTAAACTTACCACATACACTGATGTACTCATGCATATACACACAACAGACGATGACATCTTTGCTGCTGAGGAATTATTTTCCCTTTTTCCAATTTTCAAAGTGTTTAAAAAAATGTTTAAAACGTTAAAAAGAAAATATTTCAAACATTAAAGCACAACATTGGTTACTAGTAACCAAAATAACACAGGTGGCATAAAAACACTGATTTGAACATTTGTGACCCACCTGTGGAAGACTGTAGGGTCCAGTCTCTCATCTAAAGGTTAAATATGATGTGAAGATAACTTTCTACTAAAGATGTTCATGCACTATTAAATATGACAAAACGAATACACTGTGGCACATTGTGCTGTGCATTATTAATGATGCACATTGATGCAATTCATAGAAACACCATAAATGATCATCCATTTCCTCTGACGGGTCGTTGCATTAAAATAAATATATCAATAATGACTTTGGTTTGCAGAGCGCCTCACATGAAACCCAAGGACGTGCTAGGAACAGTATAAATGAAAATGTAGTGAAGAAGCCCACAGCTCCCTCACAACCGCCTTCTGCAGTTTATCCAAGGAAACACAGAGACATTCCCAAGCCAGCCGAGAAGCAACCTCTCCTGGGACCGCCTCCCAGAAGGCCACGCCCTGAACACCTCACCCCGGCAACAGGTGACTCAAATGGTAAATGGCCTGTATTTATATAGCGCTTTACTAGTCCCTAAGGACCCCAAAGCGCTTTACATATCTTGTCATCCACCCATTCACACACACATTCACACACTGGTGATGGCAGCTACATTGTAGCCACAGCCACCCTGGGGCGCACTGACAGAGGCGAGGCTGCCGGACACTGGCGCCACCGGGCCCTCTGACCACCACCAATAGGCAACGGGTGAAGTGTCTTGCCCAAGGACACAACGATGGAGACTGTCCGAGCCGGGGCTCAAACCAGCAACCTTCCGAGTACAAGGCGAACTCCCAACTCTTGAGCCACGATCGCCCTCCTTTCGATGTAGAAGGACATCGACTGCAGTCCGAGTCCCTCTTGAACTCGTCACCCTATCACAAAGCAAAAGCCCACCTTCAGAGAAAGCTCACGTCTTGCATCTGCGATCTCATCCTTTGCACTTCAGCAGTGAGTAACAATAACAGGCCTAGTTTTATAAGCGATGGCTGCTTTGCCATTTGCTGGCAGACGACTGCGTATGGGAGACACAATTTTCTCCCATTGGGCACCAATTAAAGCGTTAACATTAAACAACTAGTCCTTCTGATACGTCTAATGACAGCAGCTCTGATGATTCATTCCTGCTAAGAAGTTCAATTCAATTTTATTCATACAGCCAAATCACAACAAGCTTTACATTGTACAGTATATCCTATAATAACAGATACAGAGAAAACTCTTATCCACATACAACACCATCTCAGTTCTGTTCACCACAGCTCAATTATACACATTATGACATAATCATGTTGCCTACAAACAAGCTTTTAGCATATATAAACTTTACCACCATATTATTATTTATTGATTGATTTTTTTTTACTTTTTTAATTAAGTATATCAACTAACAATATTGTAGTTTTAGTGATTCATCTAAAACAAAATAAATAAATTAGTACCAAACACCGGTGCACCCTGGGAGAGGCTCCAGGCCCTGACAGGCCAAAGCGTTTAGTGCAGTACAAGCCGGAATCACCCTGAGGTTTAAAAAACATATTTCATGCTTGTGCTACAACTTTTTTGCAGCAGCTGGTCTTTGCTGCAAAACGAGTGACCTTTGTAGCAGCGGTGCTATAAGCTAACAAGGTAAAGAGCAGAGACACTGACCTTGGACGCAGTAAAGCCTTTGCTTTTCTTTGTGTCAGAGCTGTTGGGAAGTGTTGCCAGCTTGAGGTGGGAGCCAAACAGGGAGGTTGAGCCCTCCTGCATTATCATCACCTGCCAAAGGAAAATCAGCAGCTTAAATGAGCAGAGTTCTTTGCTTTCAGTAAATGTAGAGTGTTCAGTCTCTACCAGGCCAGCTGATAATAAATCAGTCATTTACTGAGTAATATCACTGTGTTTGTAGAGTCAAGTACCAGAAAAAAGGACATCAGTAAAGAATGTTCAGCTTTACTGTCAAGCAGCTTGTGTGAGCACTTTTGTACATATTTGTTCTATATTACATCGATTTCATCCCAGTCATCCCAGTGACATCAGTGCCTCACATGTACATGTAACTGACTTGGCTCAAACCCATTCCCATAAAAAAAACTGCATCAAAAACAATCAAAGAAAGAACAACAAAGATTACTGGCTGCACTCGAGGTTCACCTGAAGCACAACAAGTGAGCACCGCTCCAACTGCAACTCCAATCCCCAAACGTTTGATCGAATGCTTATATAGGTCATCATGTGCTGCCACATACCCCTCTTCATGAAACGCCTCACGTGGTCTGAAATCTTACTCAAGAACACAACCCGATTCCCGCCTAGCCTAAACATTTAGCTAATTACGGCTAATCATGAAGTGGACCTGCTGTCATCTTAGGTCGCAGTGCAGGGGCGGGGCCGGTGTCCTGCAGGTTACAGAGCGCAACCTGGGTCAACACACCTGAATCACATGACTAGCTCATTACCAGGCCTCTGGAGAACTTCAGGACATGTTGAGGAGGTAAATAAACTGGATTAAAATGAAGTCAGTGCACATGAAAGTCCCAGTGAGGGAATTGAAAAGCTTAGCAAAGGATGGCAAGTTAAAGATGTGTTTATTGAACTCATTATAAACACTTTATCAACATTTTAACAACATAAACCGTTGTTCCACGATTTCTGGCACAGCTTTAAAAAGAAACACATGCTTTATGTTTAGCAACAGCGTTTGATTTTCGTACTGCACATTATAGCAAACATGTCCACTTTGGTCCTGTCCATACACAACCACAGGTTTGTGACTTTGTAAAGCTCAACTGTGCTGCTCTGTTATTTTTGGCAAACTCCAGGAAGACAGTCGCACTATGTTAACGTAGATGTAAACGCTCCAGACAAGAAAACAACCAAAACCTCTGCTGGTGTGGAGCAGCAGGGCCGTACATACACTGCCCCGTGAACGCCGTGTTTCCATGACTGCAGGCGTTTTATGTGGATCTGACAGTCGTTCAAGTGCACAATTTAGTAACGGGACACATTTGAAACAACTGGTTTTGACTGAAATCCCTTACATTAAAGTGCTACAACAAAGTTCAACATCTGCAGCAACAATAGCTGCTACATTGTGTCATTGCTGAGGTGGTAACAGTAACAGGGAGGAGGAGTCATGAGCTACAAGCCTGTTAGAAATCTTACCTTTGAGTCTTCTGAACTTCTTTTGTGAGGATTTCGTTGCTGTGAAGGACAACAGAAGAACAGGGTGACAATCTTGGTAAACAGAAAAATACAAACTATTCATTACTATTCATATCTCACATATGCAGGGTAAACTAGTTCAGCCATTGACTGTCCAGACTGACTGTAGCACTTCAGCCCACTGTGGGGCCAATCAGAGGCTCCAGACATGTCAAATAAAGTGAATCAATACTGAAGTGCAGTTTTAAAACCCTCAGATTTACTGAGGAACGTAAACTAATGTCATTGCTGTAAAGACTATACACATATACTCCACACATACTACATCCATGATATAAAGCGACAGCCCAGGATGGACCTGGTCTGTCACGCCCTCGTGCCTACCCCTCCAGCTTTCAGTAACTTCCTACGAAACTCCTCTGTTGGATTGTTGAAGGTGAGCTTCTCACAGCGGAGGTGATTGACGGGCGGGTGACCTTCCAGGTGGAGGAACAAGTCATAATCAAAGCGAACTTTCTTCGGTTCTTCCTACGGAGAAGTGGAAGGAAAACCACGAAAGGGACAAACAATAAAAACCCGTCATGCAGCACGTTACCCACATCATGCTCGGTTTTTGACTGCATCATTTAATTAGATTCAATTCAATTTTATTTACACAGCATCAAATCACAACAAAAGTCACCTGAAGGTGCTTTATATTGGACAGTAGATACAGAGAAAAGCCCAACAATCACATGACCCCCTATGAGCAGCACTTTGGCGACAGTGGGAAGGAAAAACTCCCTTTTAACAGGAGGGGCGGGGCCATCTGCTGTGACCGGACTACATTATTCAGATCCCAAACACCCTCTGAAGCCTGAACCATGAAATAACAGACAGAATTTTTTTTTTTAATTAATTAATTAAAATTTAAATTTCATATAAACCCTTCATTTTGATTGAATTTGCTACATCTGGCAAAAATGTGTTGTGCAATTTATTTACTTTCTTCAGGGGAAAATAAATAAATCACACTGATTATGTACAAGAACTGTATTTGTTAAATATGATACACGAGGCACTAAGTAAGTACCACAGTAACGCAGCAAACTCAATTCCTGATTGTAAACGACTAATTAAAAAAATAAGTTGAGAAATTTAAGGCAGCTTTCAAATGAACATCCATGTTTTTGCTGGGTTAAGATCAACTTTGATTTTTTTGCTTTTGGACTTAGTTTCATTATTTTTACTGGCTTTTTTAGTTTGAATCACCATTTGATGAAATTATGACAGTTTGGGTTGAGACGACCTTTGCTCAGGAGTCAGCATCTGTTAGATGTGTTCGAAAGGCTCTCTGCTAGAAAACGCCAAAGAAAATAGAGCCAGTGGAACCAGTAACAAGCTAAAACTCTGGAACAAATGCTGCTTCTGAATTTTGCACCAATAACCAATAATGGAGCTCTTCCAGCACTACAAAATGCACCTTTCTCTCCACTGGATGTGCCAGTTCATGGCTCTGACCCAGTATCTGTGTGGGGTCGTTTAATTTAAATCTCTGCATTCATGACCTACGTTACCAGGTGTCGTCACCCAAAGAGAGAACCAGTTCATCCAGCCTTTACCCTCACATGGCAAAGGTGGCATCGCCTTTAGGCCCAGCTGTGTGTGTGACCTGCTGCTTTGTTAGAGCTGCACACACACCTCTGAGTATGGTAGGCCAGTTTTTTCTCTTTTCCAGCAAAAACACTTTCAAGAGAGCACAACTGAATCACGCGTACACTCCTTCAGTAACGTCGCTGCAGAAGCTTCCACATAATACATAAAATGTTGCAACAGCTTGAAAAGACGCGACTCTTGATAGAAAAATGAAAACAGCTCTGAATGGACACATTTGACAATCAGCCTCTCCAAAGCTGCAGTTCAGGAACGACCTGGTGCAAACCCGACACATGTTCAGAGCATACACAAAAACCCCTTCATGGTTTAGAGGTTCAGGGTCTTACAACAATAGTGCATTACCCACAGACACAAACCCTGGCAGCTGAGTGCTGCTTGTTAAATGTACCTTGTTTCTGAAATAAACTTCGATGGGCAAGATGAAGCCTGCGTATCCAGATTCCTCCACTTTGTACGGTGGATCCTTGCACACTGAAAGAGAAAACTGCTGTTAGACTTCAGCACCAGGAGGCTGACAGTTCACAAAGCTTGCTTTAAATTCATGCAGTTACATGAAATGCAGAGCAGCGCTGAGTGTGCTGCAGCCATCTGGTTGGGTTGCTGGGAGACGGCCGCTCTGACAAACACAAAAAACCCAACCATTACATAAATCACATCCCCTCCACACCTGAACCAGGTGACAGGACTGTATTAAGACTGTTGCTTCATTTATTGTGTCATTAAACACACTAATCCTGCAGCTGTGTTCTCATGAGACCTCATTAACTCAATTTCTGCAGCCTACTCTGATGCATCGATACAGAGAGCGGGCGTCCATTAGAGCCAAAGCCTTAAACACACATGACAAGGCCAAGACGTCCACGCATGCTCGTAGAGGAGCACACGGATCACAGCGGATCCCTCCTGAGTCACAAACTGTACCAATGCAGGAAATGTACTAATTAAGTTACGTGTGCTTATTGAACAAAGGAAGCTTTGCTTAATTCTCAAATATTGTCCGTTTGACACATCACAGCATGCAGCTACGATGGTGATGCGTGTGAATGTGTAGAAATGCTGTACGGATGGATGAGAGTAGAGAAGGACGACATCTTTCTCACATCGTCCCTCTGCTGCCTCCAACATCTTCGTTCCTGAAAATCACATCTGTTCAAATTATTGTTGTTAATAAGTTACAAACTATTTTACTTACTGGTCACGGATCTAATCCAGTAGTCTAGAACTATATCTGTCCATGTATTCATACTATGACAGCAGTGGCACCTCTCAGTGTCCTTGTATACACAGCTATGTGCTCAGTTTGAAAATCCTACATGTGCTCAGGTTTCAGTGGTTTAGGTTGAAAAAGCAGCCATGACCTGATGGAGCACATAATGATTGTTGTGAAACGTTAGCTTCATGCTTTTCAGGATTTTTTTTCCTTCCACACTTTTAAATCTGCAGCTGTTTGACAAAATTAAATGTCACAGCCTTTGTTACCCTCAAAATGAACCAGGATCCTTATTTTAGGACAGATGTGTCATAGACACTAGGCTTGTAACAATACTACAGTTTCAGTTTTAATACCAATACCCAGAAAAATAGCATGGTGAAGAGTATAACTGCATCCTACACCAACAGAAGTAATGGTGAACAAGTTCTATCTTGAAAATGTCAAGTTGTTACCTTTCAACTAATTCTTTCAAATATAAAGTTGATTTAAATAAAATCAATCCTGGTGGCCTGCAGCGCTCCCCCTCAGCCAAAGACACGAATTTAAAAATCAGAGCTGATTTTCAGAGATGTTGTCCTCCAACCACGAGGTCAGCGGGATTCAAACTCATCTGAGATTTTCAGCAGATACACCTCTGGTATCAAGTTGAAAATCTTAGGTGACCTCCTCCTTGAGTTATCACATTCACAAGACTTTACAAATCCTTGATCCCCGACCTTGACGCTGAGCTCTTTAGAAGAGCACCTATGGCATGAACTTCCCAACCCTACATCCCCTCATTCTTGATGTATCACATCTGGACAAAGTGTGGTATTAGCTGTGTTGAAATGAAGAAGACAGAAAACAGAGTGCTTACTGTGAACGCTCACACCGCTCACTGCCTGGATTTCCAAACTGACCTTTCAGGCAGCTCTTTACATCCTGGTAATTGCTAATAGTTAAACAGCAATGCTGACATGTGCTCCTGCCAGGTTAATATTTATGATAATTTCTTAATACTTTAATACTAGTGAAATGCAAGCTTCACTGATCTCTGGAGATTCCTCTGAAAGGACTGTTCGGTGTTAAAGACAGCTGTTAGCTGCATGCCTGACTTACTGCAGCAGTGCCATGTGAAAACAGCACTGTTTGTATTGATGTTCTTGCAAATATGTACCATTGGAGTCAGTGATTAACATCTGAGTGCCTATTTTTTGACAGCCCTAATAGAGACATTGCTTATGTTTGGAGAACGCAAGGACTGATGTAGACCCCAAAAACACGTCCCCACAGTGAAACGAGGGCGTGGGAGTATTAGGCTGTGGGTATGCTTCAGTCCATCTGGAACTGGAAATCTTGTCAAGGTGGAAGGAATTATCAAGAAAGACACACATGTGATAGTTTGGAAAGAAAAGATCAAGCAGCCAAACCTGGATCTAAGTAATCGCTTTGTCACATTTTCCTTTGTCTGAAAACGCCTGCGTCTCATCTGTTTGTGGGTTTATATTGGTGCTAATGTAGGACCCTTACATTCATACATCCCTGTAAAGAGGCACTTTGACGTTCAATCACTGTTGCTCTACTAGAGACAGTGCTATTAAAACTGTTCCAAAGTACTGACTAAGCCAATCTCAAAGAGCAAGGGCCGACCAAAGCTGCACATCAGCATGAAGCTATGGTCCAGCAGGCAACAGTTGCTCCTGTTCTCGGATGAACGCTACAAAAAGCTGAGCAAAAGCATTCTTCTTATGTCATGGTGAATCTGATTAGTGCTTATTTATGCACAGACAACACTAATTCATCATGATATTCACCGCAGGTGATGAAGAGTGTCTGTGGTTGACTGAGCAGAGCACCCAACAACAACCCTGCACTCCACCACTCTACACGACCTCTCCTGACTCTACATCACACTAATCAGGTAACAGCAAGACCCTTCGACAAAATGAGGTCAACATTAAGCTCCTGAGCAGCAAGAGCAGAGCAGGGATGAACGCACACGCTAAAGTTTGTGTTGGAGGTCAGTTAGGCCGTACGGGTGGAGAGCCTCAGCAAGTTAAAGGTTAGCATCCTCCTCGCTGCTCGTCGTACCTCTCCCACCCCGCTAGCACACATGCTAATGCAGGTCACATACAGAAGCAGGCTGCATACACACTATATCACATATGTCAGCCTGTTAAGATACACACACCTCCACAGAAACGCACTGAAAGAAACTCCTGATCAAAGGTCTGAGACTAACAGCACACACAGCAGGGTGAAACTTCCACACCTCACCTATAAAACCACCACAGAAGTGTTGGATGCTCAGTGAGCTCCGGGGTGGCAAACTTTAATTCTTGCAAAAGGTTGATCAATTTCCTATTATTTGATCTGATTTTATTAGCGTCAACATCATCAACATGTTTGATGAAGAGCAAACATGATGCAGATGATGTAGGACAACTCGAACATGCCTGAGAAGGACCGTTTACGAAGTTTGGATGAACCTTCAGAGTCGTAAACTGAAATCACAGCAGAGAACACTCAGATCTGATTTATGACAACATCTGCATATCATAATAATGATAACGAAAGTAGCTCCTCAGACGTGTAACTGATGAGTCCGATGAAGAAGGAAGTAATAATGGAGCACATTATGATTCTTTACGTCCAATAAAAGCTGCCAAACCAGTGTTAGAACGAATCTAACATTACGAGAACCATCGAGAAAAAGTGAACAGCAGAAAGAGACAGCAGGTTGGTCACATCAGCTCCAGTCGGTGCTGCTCCTCGATATTAATGTTTTCCATGGGGGGGAATAAAGGATATGCAGGGTGTGATTGAGGTGGGTGATCTGCTGCACCCTCAAACGAAGCAGCCACAAGAAGAAGAAGAAGAAGACGAAGAAGACGAAGAAGAAGAGTGGTTTATTTGTACAGCACCAACGCGCAGTCGATTTAATGTGCTTCATATTTTAGGGTAAAGATCCAACAGACAATCTACGCACGTGGAAACCAAACTACACCACCATCAGAGGTGGGCTTCAGGTGTGCACCAGTACTTCCTGAAACTATTGGCCTCCTGTTACCTCACGAGGTAAGACATGCTGCACTACATCTGCTTACTAGCTATCATGTACTGGATATAACGTCCCAGTATGGAGAGTATGGCTACAACAATGACTTATTATTCAGACTTATGGATATATTCATGTCAAAAAGGTTAACAAGTAATAATAAATGAATGCATAGGCTTTCACAGGTTTCAGGCCCTAATAAAACTCCACCAGCAGGCCACGAGTCTCAGAGCGAGTCCTGACTCAGGCCTCGGAGCTTTGTTGTGGGGAGGGACTGTAAAGAAAGACAAATGTTTTATGGTAAGGCCAACTGAGAGGAGTGAAAGAGCTTTCAACAGACACCCCAAATAAATCAAGCTTCAATAAACCACTTCCTCAAACTTCCTTTCATTGATTGAACCGAGGAAGAGTTGGCATTTACAGCCCAGTTCCTGTTCCTTGGAGGTGGCCGCCTTGTTTATCGGCACCTCCTCCTAACCCCATGCTTTCTTGTAAACAACAGCAGCCAGCCTGGAGCTTTCTTTGTGTTTCACCTTCATGAGTGGGAAGCATTTTTGAGGAATCAAGGAACAATACCGGCAAAATCCCGAAGCCCTTCAGTTTCTCAGAGCTTATTTATTTTTCCTCCACGTTACAAACTACACGTTTCACGCAGTTTTCAGGGAGATGAACCATTTTTTTTATCTTCCAACTTTCCATAAAAGTGACAATTCTCTGAAATATCAAACACCTCTGAAGAGATTCCCTCCATCTGTAGATTAAACGGCACTACAGAATCCAAATGAGGTGCTTAAGCAGCACGAGCCTCTGCTGCCAAAAAGAGCACCGCCTTCGCTGCTTCCTAACAACGTCTTTACCTCCATTTGTTCAGACAGCTTTGCCATTTGGCTGTCACCATGGAAACACCTCCATGCTGGCCTGCTAACTAAACAGCAGCAATGATGAAGCGCAACGGCGGCTTTACTCGCCGACTCGGGGAGCTTCTCCGAGCTACACACCCAATCGTTTGGAGAGTGAGAAGAAGTTAGACATGCGCCATCTTTTGGCGTTCTCGCTCTGACTCCCTTCGATGTTTGGATTGATAAGAAAACACTGATGTGCTGACATATGAAGAAGACTATATTGAGAGCACTTAGGATCTGAGATCTTATCAGTGGACCTAGTTTGGTTTGGTATTGCTACACAAGCCAATAAAGACCAGCTGACAACTGTAAACAGCAGCAGAGCTACAGGACTGATGTTCAGCACCTTCTACATTTTTTGGCGTCCCGACAGACCCCAGATATGTCCAGGTGGACATACAAAGCTTATATTTCATTTGACAAGCCAAGTGAAATGGAGACATGTTAAAAGGACGTCCACGTCCATTTAGTCCCCCCACCTCCAAACCCTCTGGTTTCCAAGGCTACAGTTTATAACCATCTGTAGTAAATACTGCTGCAAAGGTTATCGTATAAATCAGCACACGACCTGCTGCCATTAAAGCAAACTGTTAGTCCTCACTTCAGTTTGTAATTTTAATATCTGCTCGTGACGTCTTTAAATGTCTCCGTTTTATTTCAGTGTGTAGGTGGAGCTTGTGTGGCTGTTTCAGTTAAACTGGAAAGGAACCATGTCAAGAAAAACAGCTGAGCTCAGATCTTTGTGCGAAGCACACAACGTCCAGGTGCAACAACATGTGCTGGTGACTGATCTCTTAGTTGATTAAACAAGGAAAACATTAGACTAACCAACTAGTGTAAAACTAGGAAATACTCAGGTATAAAGTTCAGTTTGAGAACAGTTTAAATGAAAATGTCAAAAATGAATTATAGGCCAGTCAGTGAGCCATCGGGGGGCAGATTAAACTGGAGCAGCAGATCCTGGAAGTCATGTAAGCTGTGAGGCAAGGCCTCCTTGGACTGGACTTGTTTGTCCAACACGCCCCACAGATGCTCGACTGAACTGATATCTGTGGAATCTGAAGCCCAACTCAACACCTTAGACTTGTCCCAGTTGTTCCAGTTTGTGCTACTCAAAGAAGGCACCTTCTCCCACTTCATCATCCTGTCCTGATGCTCAGGTGTCCACTGGTGACCCTTTTGGCAGTAGACGGGGGTCAGCGTGGACATCCTTACTGCTGTGCAGCTCCATGTGCAACAAACTGCGACACGCTGTGTGTTCTGACACGTTTCTATCAGAACCAGCATCAACCTTTTCACCAGTGTGAGCTTCAGTAAGTCACCTGTTGGACTGGCACACACAGGTCAGTCTTTGCACCCCACTGGTTTACTAACACTAACCCTACCTTCATTAGATCACTTTTGATAGATACTGACCAGTGCAGCCTGGGAACATCCCATAGGAGCTGAAGGTTTAGAGATGCAGTAACACAATCTTAAACCCTTATGCTTGCTCATGTTTCCTGCTATTAAAGAGAAAACCTTCACATGCTCCCTGATCTATGCCACTCACCAACAGGTGCATTGATGAAGAGATGACCAGCACCATCACCTCACCCGTCAGTGGTGGATTTCCATATTACCACACTAAGCCTTCTTTTCCACAGTGGCTCTAGTGTGTAGGGCTGTGTCAGCTGGGTGCCGTGTTTCATTAACAGTTAATCTTGTACTTGTACTCCTCTAAAAACTCAACTGTGTGTCACTCCAAGCAGATGATGTCTGCCACTGCTGAACAGGTTGTCAGGATACTACAATTTCAAACTCAGTACTGACACCACAGGGTCGATTCTGACCCCCTCCTGCAACAACACGTGGTGAAGAAGTTGTACCTTCAAAACATTAACTTGTTCATTTTTCAACAAATTTTCCCAGTTATATGTTAGCTTTAACAAAATAACTATTGAAGCTTAAAGGTTTTATTTATTTTACATAATTTCATTACAGATTATTGCGGTAAAATATATTTCAGGATCTACTAATGAACAATGGGCGCAAACAAACAACGCTTTACCATCTACATGACTGAATTATTGTAGAAGAAGAACATAATTAAAATGAGTTTGAATTGGGGTCGGGCGACTGGATGAATATTTCGACTATCGCCGATAGGCTGAGCATACTCAGCCGGATGGTGGACACGTGCATGCTCATGCAAGTTAGTCGAGTTTGAGTACTTTGCTCGTACTACACTGATTACATTGCTCTGCAATCAAAAAGTCTGTGGACGCACGAATTTATCGCCCATCGCCGATTATTGGACTGATGATTGTCGGTTGGAAAATTTTTACATATCGCCCAACTTTAGTCTGAATAAAGTCTCTCATTTGTTTCCTAAAATAAAAATAATGATTAAAAAATTTAGACAAAGTACGTGTTATGTATTTAGGATGAGTACAGGATAAGATAACAAAGTTAAATACATTTAGAAGACTATATATTACTTATACTTATATACTTATATTATATAAGATTATATCATACAGTTTTGGTTTGATTACAGACCAATTTTTCTAATAATTTCATTATTATTATTATGATCATCATTATTATTATTATTAGTAGTAGTAGTAGTAGTAGTAGTAGTAGTAGTAGTAGTAGTAGTATCTGTGTGGCCACCAGTATTGTTTAGATCAGGGGTGTCAAACATAAGGCCCGGGGACCAGGATCGGTCTAGCAAAGACTTCAGTCTGACCCACTGGACAGCTGTAAACACTGTGAAGGCGTAAACTTGGCATTTTTCTCTACATTTTACAGCTTTTTCCGATAGATAAAGGGCACTGATACTACACTAACATAATAAAACAACAGAGAAACAGTTAAATCTGATAACTGTGTAAATTAAAAATGTCCAGTTTTAGATTTATAGGTCAGTAAGTGAGCTACCAGAACTTTACTAATTTATCTGAGACATTTTCTTAGAATTTAATTCCAAAGAGTCACGCTGACAGATTTCTTTCTTTATCATGTAGAAAAGTTGAGACGTCCTGTTTTCCTTATTTTAAGATACCTCGGAGTCTAACTTCTTTGCACTGACACAAAGGGGAGTTTCACTGATCTGGCCCAGGATAAAGGTGGGCTGTATGAGCTAAATAAGTTCAACATTACTGATCGTCCTTACTGTCTGTGGAGCTATGTGATGAACACTGGGTGGACAGTCTGAAGGTTAACTGTGGGCTTCTCCAAGGTTAGTTGTTTACACTGGTTTGTACTGGTCTGGGAAACGTTTGGAAATTCATAAATGAATGTATGACACACTAAACTATTTATACTTAAATAAAGTTTTGTATGTAGTAATATTATTGTGTCTATTACAGCTACTAATGTTATACTAATTACTACTGCTGCTATAAATAAAAAAGATGCATGTAGACACATACTTCACCTGATTATATGATTATTGTCATCATTGTTATTACTGTATTATAATAAGCCGAAGCACCAGCCTGCACCTCTTCACTCACTAATTTGTGTTGTCTGTTGTTATTTATGTGATTATTGGTGTCAAAACATGAAAAGTGAAACGACACCAGGACGTAACATTACACAGACAACAAGACAGAAAGGACTTTAAGTGAGAACCTGACTCTGCCAACGCTGCACTACAGGTGTGAAATAAATGCACGCACATGAAGATACAACACACATTAAAAGTATACATATACACACACACACACACATATATATATACATATATGTGTGTGTGTGTGTGTGTGTGTGTGTGTGTGTGTGTGTGTGTGTGTGTGTGTGTGTGTGTGATCAATTACAGATGTGAAGCCCTTAACCTCCACCCCTCCACACAAAGCACCAGGGCAGCTCTCCTCACCTCGCTTTGGTTTCGGGAAGCTTTCGTGCAGATGAAAAACCACTTTCTCCACAAAGTGCTGGATGTTGCTGTGCTCTGGTCCTCGCACAAACACCATCCAGTCGTGGGTGAACCCTTCCACCGTGGGTTTCTTTCTGACCTGGGCACGATGACCAAGTTCCAGTTTCACCTGCACAGCACCCTGCAAAGCACAAAGACGCAGGGTTAGCGTTACTAAAGACGGGTCACGGGTCCATGTTTCATGCAGGTGTTTGTCTGCTGCTGTCCAACAACGTCTGTTTCCTCTCAGCTGAAGCAACAGGTACACGCTTACACACGACGAGCTGAGCTGCTCACACGTCAACCTCCGTGTGTCCTGCGCTTTGTTTCCTGAGCTAACGTTACACAACTGTTAAACCGTAACATCGTAAGAATAAAGAGCAAACTTCTCAACAAAGTTGGCATGTCTGCGTTACCGGCCCAGCGACTGCTCTCACTGACTACAGCCGCTCTCCAACACTCTATCGGCGCATTAGCCGAAACGTTTTGGGGGTTTCTCCCAAAAGATTTTCCTCTGTCTGTCTCTGAGGGGAATTTAACATCTCTATTATTTCATGTGGTAGCGGCGCGCTAAGTAGCAGTACAGCCCGAAAACCCTTGTTGCAGAAAAACCCACGGACCCTCCGGTGTGCCATAAATGTCCACGCGTATAGTGTTTAAACCCGAGCCGGGAACAGCAAAGCACCGTGAGCAGCTACTTACCGAGCTGGCCATAGCTGAGGCCGAGCCTTCCTGTTATTTCATGGAGACTTCGTTTTATATTAAATGAGAGGTGAGTGCAGTTTGCCTATGACGGCCGACATGGTTTCTTAGGGACTCAACTCAGACCCAAGACTTTGAAAGGTTCGCCGGCTGTAAAGCGTCTGTAATGACGTGGACAGTATCCGCTTGGGGCTTTTCAAAGTAAAACACTTGCGGTAAAGATGCACTCCAGGTCCCCACATACCTAACATTCTCCTTATACATATTTCTTTAGATTTGTCTTTCTTTTGTTTTGTCTTTCAGACAATCTCCACATGTGTTTATTTGAAAAGATTCAGGTTTCTTAACTACTTTTCGACTTTGTTGTTAGCATATATACACACAGCTGTTTATAATCCTGGCGTGTATGATTTTAACCTGTATATGCATGACCCAGAATGAATCATTTTAATTAGTAAATTACTTTTTTTTATACCGTTGCCAGCAATCCAGCTGCACAGACATTTACTTCCAACATTAAGCTGTTAATGCAGCTCCAAAGACTTCTGCACTCTGCCAGGATTAAAACTAAGCTATGCTTCTCTAATTTTATGACTGTAGGTTCCTTTTTGTGTCTCCTGAAGCTGTCCGTGCATTCGACAAGTCTTGCCGGTATTGAAGCTCTATTTTAGTTGAATTGCATGTTTTCACTGTGCAGTATTAGTAAGGAATGTAGGAGTGCCTTCACTGGCGTCTCTGTTCTCTTACTGCGTGTCTGTGGTTCCCAGCACTGATACTGGAGTGAGATTTACAGTCTATAAAGTCTTTAAAGGACTTCAGCGGCAAAGAGAATATTTTCACACACTTACTGGATGTTAAGTCTGTTTGCCATGACTTTAAACCAATTTGTTAAGAAAGTAAAATATCGTCTAGCTATTGTGATATTAATCAGAATCAGAATACTTTATTGATCCGAGGGGAAATCATTTAATATTAATAATTAATAATTATATTAATACTCAATATTAATAGTAATTATTAATTAATAATATTTAATATTAATTATCACTACAGCGTCATTATTTATCTTTAAATTCATTTTAATGACTGCTAACTACGATGCACTTTTTCCAAAAATTATCCAGTATTTTATTTTGAGCATGAAATGCGGTCATTTCCGTTACGGTCTTTGTTACGTTCAACAAACCGGATCGCTTTAAGAGGCACAGCGCACGCGCGGCTTGGCGTACCCGCTTGAGGCCTCAGAAAGAGCACGAGATGCAAAGAACCAATAAGAGAACAACAGATCCACAGATCTCCAATCAACTACCGGCAACCTCCCGTACGAACGCTACGTTCAGGTCCCAAAGGAAACCTGATGTTTCTGCCTTAAAACAATTAAATGTAACGTTCAAAGTCGCTCGAACTGGAGTTTAAAATGATAATCTGATTGTTCCAGGCTAACGAAAAGAAGTAATTCAGTGAACTCCAGTTTCCCCTTTTCTGTGCATATATGTTACTAAAAAGGTTTTTACTATACTGCATAATAACGCCCAAATTTGGACAAAATAATAAGAAAGTCTATGAAAAACCCTCTTATACAAACTAGCCTTCAGTGTACTCCAGAGAATTGGCTTAAAGTGTCATATAATAACAACAATAAATAACCATCATTATTGTATAGCACTATTTAAAACACATTTCTGAAACTCTTAACACATCACAGAGAGGTCTACATATCGCATCACACAGTATAGAAATATGTATATTCAACCATAAACTGTTACAGATCCTTCTTGCAAACATATTAACATTAAAGCAGTGGTGTGAATCATAGTCAATAGGAAATGGATAAATGGATGGAGATAGAAGGAAATGAAATTACATCTAATTATTACTGGTACATAGTACAGTATAGGACTGCTGCATATTCTTCCCACTGAATGTGTCCAGTTACCCTTAATTAACACACAATGAAAGCTGAGTTAGTCTGAGGATTGACCCTTGTGGGATCCCATAGGAGTGGAGTAAGCCCTGTAGTTATTTATATGAATTTTGAAGTGTTTGTGAGATAAGAATGATGAAAACTATGTGAGAGCATCGCTATAACTATAATCTCAGTTCACTATTCTGTTTGTTAGAATGGCATTAATCACCTTACCATTACTCAAGAATATTGTTTTGGAGTTTCAGCAGGCACAGTGATTTACACACTGGTGCCTTCCTGCAAAAAACCTGTTGCTGGTATTAACGCCTGTCAGCGGGGGGCTGTATTCCTGTTTTCTCCCACAATCCAAGGGCCCTAAATTTAATTGACCATAGTGTGAATATGAGTGTGTGGTTCTGTCTCTCAGTGATGGACTAGTGGCAGGTCAAGAGGTACCCATGACAGGTGGGATGGGTTCGTGACACCACAGGTTCCTAAGTTGGAGGAGAGGTTAAGAGGATGGATGGATGGATGGTGTTTTAGTGCTGTGACTCTGAGAGAAACTAGATTAGAACTGATGCAAGGTGCAGGGTTCCTTAACCAGTTGAAGAAGCAGGTTTTTGGAAAACTTCAGTAACGACTTGTATTTTAGAAATGTGGCTGTAATTATATAACAGTGGAAGACACAGGCTGCCTTCAAGTGTTCAGGTATCCAAAGCAAAAGCTGATAACATGAAGGAAAGGGGAGATGACCAGAAAGGTATCTTTGAGAGATTTACCAGGAATAATATCAGCAGAAGGCTATGCATATGAAAATTGGTATTCACGAAATGGAAACTGTACATTCAGGCAACAGTTATTAATTAAATTAATGTTCAAAAATATTTAAAATGAAAGATTTTACTACTTTGTGAAAAGTATTAGTTGATCTTGAATTTAAGGGCATCACCTCATCTTTCTAAAGGTGGGACGGGGACAAGAAAAACCCAGAGAATTAAGTGTTGGAGGGACAGGAATATTTTGCAACTCATTCGCTTATCTGGCCATAGGGAAGTCATTTAATTGGGTATAAAAGGAGCATACTGGAAGAACAGGGCTCTCATTGGTTTACCCATCTACAAACTGTGTCACAATATCAGAATAATGTTCTGCAGTGTAAAATCTTTACTGGGTAAATCTAGTAAAGATCTGAAAACCAACATGATCTTCTGTTACTCAGGTGGCACGCTGTCATGGAAATCATTGCATGGGTTTAGGAACACCTGCACGTTCTGCCTGTGAACACTGACATATCCAAATGGTCTGAGCTGAAGTTTGTTATCAGTGTTCGGTTTAAAAAGGCTGCATCTCTGATGGTTGGCATTAGATCAGTGCCTATGGAATTGGCACCTTGCACATTTGGAAAGGAACCAAGACTGAATTATATACACAGGTTTTAGAGCAACATGTGCTCCCATGGAGATGATGTCTTTTACATGTTTATGGAGGATGTTGCTAAGCTGCACACTACAGCAGGGCTTTGTAGTGGAAGACCGCAGGTCCTGCACCAGATATTTGATGATATTTGTGACATCACGAGATGAAAAGCCGCAGGACTGTTGAGCAGCTCTGTCCCTTATATCAGACAAAAATGATGCTCTCCCAAAAGTCCAGCACCTGGTCTCCTCAGTTCCCAGGTGTTTATGGATGGTTGTTGAAAGTAGAGGTGATGTTGGAAACATGGCCATGCTGCAAGCTTTTTGGGATGTTGCTGCCACCAAATTCACAATGAGCTCATTTGTTTTCTATGTTGCATTATGAGTAAAGTATGGGTTCATGAGATTTGGAGGAGGTAAAGTTTTTTGAACAGCATGTATAACTTTAACTGAGCTTCGTTAGTCTTTCTTAGCCTGCTGCAGTTACAGTTACAGCCGCGTATCTGTTACAGTGAACCTGCCGTCAGCTGTATAACGTTAGCATTAGCTTGTGTTGATGCTAAGCTGCTATTAGCAGGTCCTGTTCAGCGCTAAGTTGTGTCCGGGCGACTTTACAGTTTAGTTTTCTCCGTATTACGATCACCAGATAACTGTGGATGGCCTCGTGTGTACTGAAACTTTGTGGTGAAGCGCTTTGGCCTGTGGGAAATGTAGGAAACACCAGGACGAGCTGGCGTACCTCAGTAAACAAACATGCTGCTCTGTCTTGGGTGGTCGGCTTTGCCATTTCCAGATTGAGCGTTGTTATATATCTGGGGGATTACTCCTGATTAATTATTTGAGCTGTCTCGTACTATGTGGCTGTATCAGTGTGACTGCAGCTCATCATGGTGTGTCGCACTAATTTAATAACAGTAGATGTTAGCCTGATGTCCTCTTAGAGACCAACAGAGCAACGCTGCTGATTTTATTTTTGTATTTTATAGTTTGAAAGTGACACTTGGGACACAATGAGTGTGCGTCCCAATGTATTGTGCTCCTTCAGACACAGATCCACACAGCATGTGTATATAAACCATGGAAGAAGCAGAGCTTTCATAGTGACACACTGCTCAGCTTCACAGTGTGTGTGACACAGGTGGGTCACTTGGATGGGCAGAGGTGAGGCCTGGTAAAAAGCTACAGCTGTAAACTGTGACAGTGCTCATATAGGGGGCTGTTGGGGTTGTCTCACTTTTGGATGCAGGCTCCAGGGGCCGTTAGGGGAATTGCAGTTTTTGGCACTTCTGCACAGGTTTCAGTTTTCAGCCCTGGAGGTGCCGCCTGATATGAGGTGACACTTTTGTCTTTGTCCTCTCACCGTCTGTGAGAGATGAGTATCCACCATGTGAGTCCCTCCCTCTCCACCAGTCGGTCAGACGTCTGCCCGTCCTCCAGTCTGTTTCGGCTAAAAGGGAGATTTTCCTTCCTGCTGTGGCCGAGGCCTTGCTCATTGGGGTTGAGTGGTTAGTGGGATTTTCTCTGTACTTCTTGGTCTGTGCCTTCACGTGACTGTTGTTGTGATTTGTTGATCACAGAGACCTAAAAGACCTGGTGACCTCTAATTTCCTGCTTCTAAATCCAGACAGGCTGTTGTGCTCGGCCCTAAAACTCTTAGAAACAGCATCATCGTGGCCTGCAGTGAAGCTGTGAGGAGCCATCTTTGAGCAGAATATATCATTCAGTGTGCACAAACAACCACGTAGGTCTGTGAACTAAGCTGAGAGTGATTCTAGCTGCACGATTGTGAGTCAGTGTTATCAGACAAGTGCCATGAAAAGCCTCAAAGCC